TACATTCATAGATCTCTCAGTGCATCATAATCTTGAGATCCCTCCTGCATTTCATAATCAGACCAATGCTTCCTCTAGTCTAGGGATCGCAGTAGAACTGAAATCCTGGGATCGCTTATCCACTGAGAAGGATCTCGTTTTATGCTATACAAAATGTATAGAGCTTATAAAGTGCTAATCAGCTTTGGTGGCTTAGCACCTACAAGCTGTATTCCAGAACTCGTCTATGAGGTGTTTAACAACCTCAAAGCATCATTACATTGAACATAGTGTATTACTAATTTAGTCAGAATTGTGAGAGGCCTCGGGTCAATCGTTTTCTCTGCACTCTCTCTCTCTCTCTCTCTGTTAAAGTTTTCAGTAGAGCGCACTTGTCAGAAAAATAGCATCGGAATTTTTTGATCTACCTGAATCCAAATTTCCCACCTTCCAGGTCGATATCCCAGTCACCATAGTCGGTGATATCCATGGACAGTTTGAGGATCTGAAAATGATGATGGATATGAATGGATGGCCATTTTCCGAAGACGAGGCGAAAGAAATGTATCGTCATCAAATGAAAGAAAAAGATCCGAAAGCCACGATTCCAGCCCTTGGATCAGGGACTGATCGTCAGAAAGGACCCAAGAATTACCTGTTTCTTGGAGATTATGTGGATCGTGGACCATTTTCCATTGAAGTCGTTTTGATGTTATTCGCCATGCATTTAAGATGGCCTGATCGTATCACTTTGTTGCGTGGAAATCATGAATCGCGACCGGTGAATAGACAATATGGATTCTATGGAGAGTGCTCCAGACGCTACTCGGAGAAGTTAGTTTATTGAAATTCTGAAGATATGGATTAGTAGATCAAAAAATTCTCTATCGATTGGTATGGATAAAATAACTGAATTTTCGAATTCCCGCCAAAATTTCTGAACTTTTAAATTGCCACCAAAATTTCTGAATTTTTGAATTCCCGCCAAAATTTCCGAATTTTGGAATTACCGCCAAAATTTCTGAATTTTCGAATTCCTGCCAAAATTTCAGAACTTTTGAATTCCCGCCAAAATTTCCGAAATTTTAAATTCCCGCCAAAATTTCTGAATTCCCGCCAAAAGTTCGGAATTTTCGAAATCCCGCCGAAACTTCTGAATTTTTGAATTCCCGCCAAAACTTCTGAAAATTTTGAATTCCTGCCAAAATTTCTGAATTTTTGAATTCTGGCCAAAATTTATGAATTTTTGAGTTCCCGCCAAATTTTCTAAATTTTCGAACTTCCGCCGAAAGTTTTGAATTTTCGAATTCCCGCCAAATTTTTTGAACTTTTGAATTCCCGCCAAAAATTTTGAAATTTTTGAATTCCCGCCAAAATTTCTGATTTTTTGATCTACCCCTTCAGAATCTACGAAGTCTTCCAACTCGCCTTCAACACGATGCCACTCACCGCCATTGTCAACAAACGTATTATGTGTATGCATGGAGGGATATCCGAGGAGTTGTATGATCTGAAACAGGTTGGGTTACTGTAGGTGGAACCTGCACATCTTACTTTCTAGCTTGACGCCTTAAAACGTCCCATCGACACTCCCGACATTGGAATCATTGCCGATTTGACATGGGCGGATCCGGACATGGAAATCGAACTGTATAAGGAGTCGCCACGTGGGGCTGGGAGGATTTTCGGAGCCAAAGCTGTGGAAGAATTCTGTAAACACTTCCAACTTGACCTAATTGTCAGAGCCCATCAAGTTGTGCAGGATGGTTATGAGTTTTTTGCCGATAAACGATTGGTGACCATCTTTTCTGCTCCGTTTTACTGTGGACAAACTAATAATGTTGCGTCAATGTTGAATATTGACGCCGATATGGTGAGTGGTCAGAAAAAATAAAAAAAAAATTTGGTCTTGGGTGGAATCGAACCCGCAAGTGGTCTGGTGGAGTGCTGCCGCATTACCACTGCGCCACGGATTATCTAGAAAAAAAAAGAAAAAAACATTTCGACCCCACGGGGGTCGAACCCGCGGGTCCCCTCCCCAGGTCCTAGCGCACTACCACTGCGCCACGCGCGCCATCCACGTACCCGTCCCCTTCCCCCTTATAAGCACCCTATTTTTTGCAGGTCGCCTCGTTTATGCTGGTGAAGCCGGTCACCGATATCAAGGGAGATATGAATGTGGGAGAGAAGGCCGAGGAGGAGAATCCCAACTAGAAGATTTTCAGATGGTCTTTTTGAATAAATGTAAACTATAAAGACTACAAACTACAAACTAGAAAAACAAAAAGAAAAGAAATACAGGGAGGAAAAAGAAAACTATTTCTTTTTCGGTTCATGAGAAAATTGTCTTCTCGAATATACATATATTGTAAACAATACATTTTTCTGGTTCTTTGATGCATGCTTCTCCGTTCCCATCCCCCATTTGTCGGTTTCCCGGCTTTAATGGCCGATGAGAATGGCTTGAACCACCGAAAAGCGCACCTTTTTTATATTGGAGGTGCATGTGGGGTTTCGCCGCGATTTGGAGTTTTTGGGCCTAAAAGTGACCGATTTACAGTGACTTTTGCGAAATTTTCGGTTTTTTTTTCAACCTTGCGTGCGCCTTTAATGCTGGGGTACTGTAGGGGTTTTTTTGGGAAAACTACTGTACCTTTCATTTTATGACACTGATTTTATGACTCTTCCGTCGTGGTGCAGTGACCCGGTAATGGCTTCGGAGTGGTTTATTTCGGTTAATAAATTTTATTTTCAAGAAGAAAAAAAAATGAAAAATCGGGAGTATAAACTGTTTGTTTAGTTGGTTTTGATCGAAGAAATAGCAAATTTTGAAAATTCTACAGTACCCCGACTCTGAAGGCGCACGCGCTAGTTCAACGTTCTCGTAAAATATCCTACAGTAACCCGTGTTTAATGGCGCATACAGTCGTTTTCAAAAAATTTCTACAGTAACCCATTTTTCGTGGCGAGACACACCAAGGTATCTTATAGCTAGCTTAAAGGCGCATCGAAGGCTCAAAAAATGCCGGTTCGTTTTCAAAATAGCCTACAGTAACCCGTGTTTACAGGCGCATGAAGTTCATCTTCGAAATTCCTACGGTAACCCATTTTTCGTGGCGAGACACAAAACCCTCTGCGCCTTCAAGGTTTAGATGAGCCTTCAAAGTTTAAAATCGATCGATAATCGATCGATATCGAAAATCGCTCGGACACGGGTCGAATGAATTTTTGAAAGCTACAAAACAAAAAAAAGACCATCGAAAAATATCAACTTTGAAGCGAGTTATGGCCTCAAATAGGTCGATTTTTTCGATTTTGGGGCAGCCTTATCTCGGAAGGGGGCGGAGCTAACTACAGTAACCCATTTTTCGTGGCGAGAGTCACAAGACGCATCCAAGCTCACAAAACCCTCTGCGCCTTTAAGGTTTAGGCCAGCCCACACCTACAGTAACCCTTTTCTATCAAAACCTCAAAGCACCATGGCCACCCTGCCCCCGAAAAAAAACCGACTTATGAATCAGAGATGACATGTTATTTCTCACCATTTTCCCCTCCCCTCTGCCCCTCCTCCCTTAAAATCAAAAGAGTGCCCGTTTCTGATTGCCAAACTCCTCTCCTCTCTCTCATTGTCCCCTCTGCCCCCAACCGTCCCTCCCGCCGCTTGAGTCGCCATTCTTCACAGATTTTCGTGTGTGTGGTCTCCGCTTTCTCCATTTGTCATATATATTCATTTTTCTTTTCGTTAAGTAGACAAATTGTTTTTTTTTCCAGAATCTTCTCAAATTGGTTGGAATCGAGGGGATTTGGAGATGCATCGTCAAATTGGGAGACGCCTCGGCAAGGATCTTCGCTTTCGGTGAGTTTTTACACTTTAAATTTGCAAAAAATAGTACCAAAAAAACCGTAAAGGCGCACAGGCCTAAAAATGAAGGGGCGGGACAGACCAGTCAAGGCACCTTAAAAGCGCACGCGAACTTTTAGGTCCTAACAACTTCAAAAAGTCCAAAAAAACTAGAGAGCTAAGGGATGGCTAGTCTGAAACGTTAAAGGCACACACACCTATTAGACTCGATGAAAAAATTTCCTACAGTACCCTTCTCGTTTGATAACGCGGCACTGAAAAAGGAGTTTGCGAACTTGCCACTAAATTTAACGAGTTAGAAAAAAAAACATAAAAGATTTGGCCACAAGGGGGGTTGAACCCGCGATGTGGAGCTTCAAGAACAGCTGCGCTAACCACTAGGCCGTCAAGCGCATCGCGGATGCGCCTTCCCGCTCTCACCACTTACCGCCCTCTTAGCCTAGTGGCTAGCACTCTTGTATTTGAAATTTTCAACGCGGGTTCAACCCCACATGGGTCAAATCTTTTTTCGCATTTTTTTGGAAACATATTTTGGGGTTGCAGTTGCCTGAGAGACGCAGACAGTTAACTAGGGGGAATCTCTCACAAAAAAAAGTTCAACAGTGCCCCCTCGCTTGATACAGCGGCACTAAACAAGGCGTTTGCGAACTTGCCACTAAATTCGACGACCCAGAAAAAAAACAAAAAAGATTTGGCCACAAGGGGGATTGAACCCGTGATGCGGAGCTTCAAGAACAGCTGCGCTAACCACTAGGCCGCCAGGCGCATCTCGGGTGCGCGATCTCTGCGCCTTCCCGCTGTCACCACGCATCGCCCCCGTAGCCTAATGGCTAGCACCCTTGCTTTTGAAATTTTCAACGCGGGTTCAACCCCAACTGGGGTTAAATCTTTTTTGCAATTTTTTCGGAAGCATATTCTGAGGGTTTAATCGCCTGAGAGACGCCGACAGTCAGCTAGGGGGAAATTTCCTCAACGATTCAAAATGTTACTGTAATTTTTAGATAGCTTTTTTGTAACGATCAGAAATAGGCGTTTGCGCACTTGGCTCTGAATTTAATGACTCAGAAAAAAAAACAAAAAGATTTTGCCACAAGTGGTATTGAACCCGCGATGCGAAGCTTCAAGAACGGCTGCGCTAACCACTAGGCCGCGGGACGCGCGCCGATCTCCCCCCTTCCCGCTCCCAGCGCGTGTCGCCCCCGTGGCCTAGTGGCTAGCACTCTTGCTTTTGAAATTTTCAACCCGAGTTCAACCCCACATGGGGTCAAATCTTTTTTGCATTTTTTTGGAAACATTTTCGGGGGTTCAGTTATCTGAGAGACGCAGACAGACAGCTAGGGGTAGCTTTCGTTTTTCTAACGATCAGAAATTCCAGTGAGGACTACGCCACCATGTACAAGGGCCCGTTGGTCAAAGAAGAACCCCACCGGGACGCCAACGGGAATCTCCTGGACCAACCATTTGTCCAGCGAGCCCGCAGTCAGCCCACAATCTCGATTAGAGCTCCATTGGCAGAGAAAGCTCCACTGAGCAAGAGTGAGCCAGGGATTTCGATTGGAGGACCCTCGGGTGAACGCCACGCCCACCAGGAGATTGTGGAGGATGTCAAGGAGGAGATGAGACGCTACTACGTATTCATCCCAGGACATGATGAGAACGAACTGGACCTGGAGAACCGACCAATGGAACCGCCATTCTCGCTTTTGGATCCCCTGACTCAATACCTCCTATTGGTGGAGGGAATCTTGGAGGACGGTCCGTCCTACTTCAAAACTCATCCGAATAGAATTCGAGGATACCCAAAAAAGGTGCTCAAACGGCTTTTGGCAAGAGACCTGCAAAATGAAAGACACCTGGCGGCTGAGCAATGTCTTCAAACCAACTCGGGAACCCTGGATCGAGGATCTTCGAAAAGAAAAATCCCCAAGATCACGTTCAGATGGTACCTCCCGGACCTCAGTGAGATTGGTGAGGAATCCGAAGACTCCCGATGGACTTCTATCTCATATGGATCTGATGAAGGTTAGTTTTGCTTAATGGCCTAGAAACCAGGCTGAAATCTTGATTTCAAACCGAATTATAGTCAAAATTCTCGAAAATTTTTATTCTGAGCAATTCGGCTCAAACTCAGTATTTTTGAATTCTGAAAAGTGGGAAATGATCGGGAAGTCATTTGGAACAGAATCCACACACATTTGGAACGGTGGCCTAGAAAGCCAGATTTTGAGAAAGTTAGGCCACTAAATCTTTTTTTTTCTAGATTTTGAATTTTGTATGACCAGATGCGCTTTGAAATTCTCTACAAAATGAGCCTGAGACCAAACGGAAACCTTCATTTTCAGCCGAGTTATAGACAAAAAACTAAAAAATTTTTATTCTGAGCAATTTCACGAAATTGAGCATAACTCGGCTCAAACTCAATATTTTTCAATTCTGAAGAGTGGAAAATGATCAAAAAATCATTTAGAACAGCATCCACACGGATTTGGAATGGTGGCCTAGAAAACCACATTCTGAGAAAGTTAGGCCACCAAGCCTATCCATCTTGAAACTATCATTTTTATGGATCCGATAGTTTTCCAGACCGATTAGACTAACTTAGCTCATCTCAGCTCGCTAAATTTCTGATTTTTCGAAAGCAACTCTGTAAGAGTTTTGGTTTTGCAGAGCCACCACATGTCGATTCTGGTCCTCGTGCCGGCGGAATCCCAATCCCGGCCGGAGCCCCGGAATGCAGCACTCCAGACATGGCCTTCTCATATGCAAACGGCTGGGCCCGAGAGAAGGTTCTGGAGTGGGAGAAGAGTGAGTTACCACAAAAAAATCTTAGAAAAAAAAGCAAAAAAGATTTGACCCCAGTGGGAATTGAACCCGCATTGAAAATTTCCAAGTCAAGAGCGATAGCCACTAGGCCACGAGGTTGCTTCTAGAAAAAAAGCAAAAAAGATTTGACCCCAGGTGGGATTGAACCCGGGTTGAAAATTTCTAAAACGTAGAGCGTTAGCCACTAGGCCACGGGAGCGGCAGTTAGAAAAGAGGGAGAGTGCCTACATGTCTGCGTGGCAACCCAAAAGAGAGAGGGGGGGGGAAGGGAGTCGTGTTCGCCACGATAGAAGCAAAGTGGTAGCCTAGTGGGTAGCGTTTTTGACTAGTAATTTCAGATCGCGGGTTCAACCCCCACTGGGTTCAAATCTTTTTTTCTTTTTTGGTATGACTAAAATTCAATAAATTTTCATCGGGGCTACCAAAAAACCAAAATCTGAAAGTATTTACGTATTATTTCACAGAAAATGGACACGGATCCAATGCTGGTGCATCCTCGCAAAATGAAGTTGGTCAAGGTATCGGTGATGCAGCGAATTTTGGAGAGGAATAGTCGTTGGTTTTTTTTGAAAAACAGATTTTTCAAAGAAAATTTTTTTTTCAGAACTCAGTTGGGTGTTTCCGTGTAGCCAGTCCTCCGTCTCAACCGTTATCACATGCTCATTTTTTTTTATTTCTCTTTTCTTCATTTGTGTCCGTATGCTTGTTTTCCGGTCAGGCTCAGAGAATTTTCTCGGTGGTCCAGCTAGAAAAATTGATATTTTTTCCTAGTTCGGGCAGTCTGTGCCTGACTTTCAAACATGTATGCCTATTTTCTGGTCTTGTTTTTTTTTGGGTGTTTTCTTATCTCTTTTATTTTTTTCCTGTGAATTTTTCATCCATACCCCATCCCTTTCTCCGCCCCCTTCGGGAATTTTCATCTGTTTTTTTTTGGCCCCAATTCTCTTCTGCTTCAGTATTCTTTGACTATGTTCTTTTTTTTTCTGTTTCAGTATTTCTCTGACTTTTTTTAAAACATTTTTTTTTGCTTGTGTGCATACTTGTCCAAGTTGGGCCCTGCCCAAACCGCGACAGCTATGCAAAAATTGTTTTTTTTTTACTTTCTCATTGAATTTTAATAAATCTGAATGAACAAATCAATATATTTGTTGTTCTTCCACCAATAGGGCTATCAACCGATGGGACCACTGCCGAAGCGCCGGAGGCGCGGCATTTCCGATTTTTTTCTCACAGCCCTGGAAGGATCCGCCTGAGAAAAAATGAAACGCGCGCTTTCCTCTATGCCCTCTCCTTCTCCAGTCTCCTATTGCGCGCATGGCCTAGTGGCTAGCGCTCCTGGTTTTGAATTTCCACACCCGGGTTCGATTCCGACCAGGGTCAAATCTTTTTTTTTTTTTTCTTCCTTTTTGTAAACACTTTAGGCTCTCGAAATCTATTTTTGAGCATTTTTCCCCTCTTTCAACGGAAATTCTCACCCCCCCCCCAAGGTCATAGATCTCGAACCTGTAGTATTATCGAAACAATAGCGACCATATTGTAACATTTTTCACGAACAACTATTGTAATACAAGGTTGCTACCTCCTCCTCATTCTTCTTGTTTTCTTTTATTCTTTCTGATAACACAACACATATGTATGTGTATGTAACCAAAGAGAGGACTACGTACTAATCGAATTAGTACTAATTCTTACTGTAAGGACGAGGGGAAGGAGAGGAGGAAAAGAATGTAAATGAACAATGCCATTGATAAGGATGGGCGACTTTCTGTATTTTGAAGTTAACGGTGCTTGCAGACCTAGCACCATATTTTACGACAATTCAGTCATGCAGCTAGGTGCTCAACTGCTCAAAAAATGCTTCAAAAATGCCTAGGTGCTGGAATTTACCACTGAATAACTCTCCTGAAAAAGCAAAAACATTTACCCCCAGACGGAATCGAACCCGGATATGGAAATTCAAAACCGAGAGCGCTAGCCACTAGGCCGCGCGCGCACAAATGGAAAGAACTGGAGAGGGCATGAAAAAAGTGCGCTTTTTCCTCTTTCTCAAGGGACCATTCGCGAGACTGTGCGAAAAAAAAAGTTCCGGAAAATAATTAGAAAACATTTTTCGTAAATTTTTTTCGGGATTTTTCGGCATTTTTTGGGAAGTTTTCGGAATTTTTTCCGGATTTTTTCGGATTTTTTTTCCGATTTTTTCGGATTTTTTTCGGATTTTTTCCGGATTTTTTCGGAGTTTTTTCCGGATTTTTTCGGATTTTTTTCCGATTTTTTTGGGATTTTTTCCAATTTTTTTGGGTTTTTTCGAAATTTTTCGAACTTTTTCGGGATTTTTTCGGGAATTTCTTCGGAATTTTTCGGCATTTTTGGGGGTTTTTTTTTGGAATTTTTTGGATTTTTTTTTGGAATTTTTCCGGATTTTTTCGGATATTTTCGGGTTTTTTTCTGATTTTTTCGGATTTTTTTTGGGAATTTTCGGAATTTTTTTTTTTGGAATTTTCAGGAATTTTCCGGGATTTTGTCGATACTTTTCGAATTTTTTTGGGAATTTATGGGAATTTTTTCGGGTCTTTCGAATTTTTTTCTAAATTTCTTGGGATTTTTTCGGAACAATTTGAATTTTTTTGGTAATTTTTCGGGGATTTTTCTAATTTTTTCCTGATTTTATTCGAATTTTTTCGGAGTTTTTTTCGGATTTTTTCCGGATTTTTTCGGTTTTTTTCGGATTTTTTCCGGATTGTTTCGGAATTTTTCGGATTTTTTTCGGTTTTTTTCGGGATTTTTTCGGGGTTTTTCAGATTTTTGAGGATGTTTCGGTTTTTCGGGTGTTTTTCTTTTCGGATTTTTTCGGGATTTTTTTTTCGCAATTTTTTTGGATTTTTCAGGTATTTTCCGGTTTTTTCGGAATTTTTTCGGGATTTTTTCGGAATTTTTTCCGGATTTTTTCGGATATTTTTTCTGATTTTTTCGGATATTTTTTCTGATTTTTTCGGAATCTTTAGAGAATTTTTCGGAACTTTCGGAGTTTTCGGGGAATTTTCGAAATTTTTACGGGATTTTTCTATTTTACGGAATTTTTTTCGGGATTTTTTTGGGATTTTCCCATGACTTTTCTGAATTTTTTCGATTTTTTTGAATTTTCTTTCGACCAAATTCTCATGATGAAAAACGAACGAAAAGTCGGTAAAAACATAAAAAATACACAAAAAAAACTTATTTTTTCGGTTTTTCCCATGATTTTTTGGTGAAATAAATTTTCGATTACTGGGTGACGAAAAAATTTTCGGCCAAAACTTTTTTGCACATCCCTGGTTCCAAACTCCACAACAAGTGAAAAACGGTCGAAATGGTGTGACGAGCTATAAAAGTTTGCTAGTACTACTACTACTACAGTACTCCTCCCCCTTTTCCAGTATTGAATAGTTCCACTTCAAGTTCTTCTCTTCACCTCTATTCTCAATGTTATTCTAATCTGATGATGATCGGTATTCTCTGCTTCTCTATCTCTCTCTTTCCCTAAGCTCCGCCTACTTTTTTTTGTTGGCAGCGCCATCCCTTACATCTTCTCTTCTTCGATAGGGGAGTGTGTGGCAATAGAGACGTTTAATAATATACAAAACGTCTCTATCTTCTGAATACCACCCTCACCAACCCCTCAGAGGACGGAAGATGAGGTCTACTACGGGTCTGCTTGCAGTGTTACTCTGTTTTTGGTGAGTTTTTCGAGAATTTGAGTTGAAAAATCGGAATTAGCGCATTTTTTTGGGCTTGGTGCAGCTTCCTGGCATATTTTTCGCAACTTTGGGCAGATTTTGGGGCTCCCAGGTTTTTAAGGCGCATATCTCAAGGAGGAGCGGAGCTAGAAAAAAGTTATCAACTAAAAACTTGTTTGAAATTAAATTTTAAGCAAGTTTGCTGTTGACAACTTTTTTCTAGCTTCCATGGCTGACGAGATACGGGCACGGAAAACTCGGATGTTGGGAGACGCCGAGAAAAAGGAGCGCACTTGGCCGTTTCGGTTTTAAAGGCGCATATCTCAAGAAGGAGGTGAGCTAGAAAAGAATCATCAACAGCAAACTTGTTCAAAATTGAATTCTGAGCAACTCTGTAGTTGATCACTTTTTTCTAGCTCCCCTCCTTTTTGAGATATGCGCCTTTAAAGTCGAAGAGAGCTGGGGTTCTGTTTCTTCTAGACTTTCAAGCTTCGGGCGCCCGTATCTCCTCAGCCGTTTTAGCTAGGAAAAAGTTGTCAAGAGCAAACCTGCTCAAAATCCAATTTCGAACAACTTTGTAGTTTTACACTTTTTTCTAGCTGCCATAGTTTTTGAGATACAATCATTTTTCAATGAATTTTAGTTCCTTTACCACCAATAACGGTTCCACTTCAACTCTCAAGGTGGTCTAGGAGAAACCGGTTCAACTTTCTCTCCATCACTTCCTTATCATAACATTCATTTCCGTCTTCTCTTGCCACCTGGGAGAAGGTGTCCGCAGACTTTTTTTCAAAATTCATTCCGATTCCCGCTAGAAATCAATCAATACCGAACACATACAGAGACATAATAATCCAGTTGATATAATGATAATTATGATGGAAAACGATGGACACTTATCTGTCACTTTTCTATATCACTGATAACCACTTTTTGTGTGTGTTTGGATGGCAAATAGGTTCGGTTTGAGATGGGGGAGGGTAGGCATGTAACTAACAGGAAAGTGACCTTGTTCTTCTGAAAATTTGAGAGGAGGAACCTTGGGAATCATTTCTAGAAGGTCGAGAGAGGGGAAACTAGATTTTTCTAGATTTTAGAGAGATCAAAAACCTATATTTGGGTGCAGGAAACTCTAATACAGCGACACTGAAAGGTTAGAAGGCAAGGCAATAGTGTTTGCGTACTTAAGAAAAAAGAAAAAAAGATTTGACCCCAACGAGGATTGAACCCGCGATGCGAAATTACTAGTCAAGAGCGCTACCCACTAGGCTACCGCTATGCTTTCTTTGAGTGGCGAACACAACTCCCTTCCCCCCCCCCCCCATTTTTTCGGGCTGACACGCAGACATGTAGGCACTCTCCCTCTATGCTGCCTGCCGCTCCCGT